CCAGGTTGCTTGGGTGCATGGCTCACTGCTTTTATGGCCCGATGGGTCATTCACTGGACAGTGTGTCCATCCACTTGCCTGCTGATGGACCTTTGGGTCTGGCTTGTGCAGGTTAAGTTGCTGGAAACAACCTTGTGTTAGTCTGGGTGGGTACCTGCACTTCCATTTCTCTTCTGTGAACACCCAGGAGTGGAATGGCAGAGTCAAAGGGAGGGATAAATTTCGCTTTTTAAGAAATTGTCCAGCTATTATCCCAAGCAGCTGTAAAATTGACCTTTCCACCCGTCAAGGTAGCAGAGCTTTCGCTTCTCCAGGTCCTTGACCACACTGGGTAGTCTCAGTCTTTCTCACTTGAATCATTCTAGTAGGGAGATCTTGGCATCTCATTGGGATTTTACTGTGCGTTTCCCCAATGACTAGAGATGCGGAGACTTGTTCAAGGCATCTTCCTTGGTGAGGTGTCTGCCAACCTTTTTGTCCATTTTTAAATTGTGTTTCATTTCTTAGTATTGGGGGCAAGGGGTTCTTTGTGAATTCTGGACACAAATCCTTCATCAGACCCAAGCTTTGTCCAGATTTTCTCCCATCTGTGGCTTGTCTCTTAAGTGTCTTTTGAGGAGCAGAACACTTTCATTTTGGTAGTGTCTACTTTATCAGTCTTTTTATGGAATGTGCTTTTGGGCTTGTATCTGAGAAAGGGTTCCATCCAAGGGCTCCAAGATCTCCTCCTATATTTTCTTCTAGAAGTGTGTGGAGTTGTAGGCCTCACATTGGGGCATAAGATGGGTTTTCAGAGGATTTTGGCATAGTGGAAGATGCGGATCCAGGTTCATTGTTTGCATTACAAACCCACTTTGTGCCATTTGGTGGCAAGACCATCCTTTCTCCACTGAGCTGGCATTGTGCTGCGGTCATCACCCAATTGTCCTACATGTCTGGGCTCATTTCTGGACAGTGTGAGGCCATGTTTGATTAAGTCCTCCAACCACTCCCAATACCCAGACACTGCAAAATCCACAGCCCTTGTTTAGCTGACCCCAGGAAGGCTCTAAGTCTGAGTCCAGATGCAGGCGGCTGAGAATTGCAGCTAGAGTAACTTGCTGATGGGCTGGGCTTGGGCTGCCACCTCCACAGAGACTGGTGGCTGGCTGGCTATTGTCACTCCCATGGTCCCATCTAGGGTGACACAGACTGAGGCCACTAAGGAGGGGAACGCAGACACAATGGTCACCTGGAAGTTTGTTGTTGGTTTTTAAGTTAAATCTTCTTCTTAGTTTGTTTCAGAAAACACAATGCAAAACATTTTAGGAAAAAGAGCATCCTAGAGAGTGACTATCGTCATTCATGGTCAGAAAGGACAGGAGTTGGAAGCCAGTTATTCTCGCAGCAGCTCTTTGTTGGTGGATGTCTGTCTTTTTGTCATAGTTTATGCAACACTGTGTGGCTGCTGGAGAAAACTCAGTTCTTGGTCTTATAAAGACAGATGTCAAAAGATACTGTGCCGTAGCGTAGCTTTTGATTGCATAGATCATGACAAGCTATGGATAAAGTTGTAGAAAGTGAATATTCTGGAACACTTAATTGTGTTCTTGAAAAGCCTATATGTAGACCAAGATGCAGTTGTTTGAACAAAACAAGGGGATACTGAATGGTTTAAAATTAGGAAAGGTGTACTACAGGGTTTTGTATTCTTTCACCATACTTATTCAACCTGTATGCTGAGCAATTCATTTGAGAAGCTGGATTTTATGAAGAAAAATGTGGCATCAGGATTGGAGGAAGACTCATTAACAACCTATGACATGCAGATGACACAACCTTGCTTGCTGAAAAGGAAGAGGACTTAAAATACTTACTGATAAAGATCAAAGAGCACAGCCTTCGGTATATATTGCTCCTCATTGTAAAGAAAACAAAACTCCTCACCACTGGACCAATAAATAAAAGACTGGGTTTATTGGTCAGAAAGAGACTAGAGGAACCTAAAGATTATGGCCTTCGACCACCCTTCCAGGCTGGAATGGAATTCACTTTTGTAACCCTGTTTTCAATCACACAGCTGTTGTTTTTAGGTGCCATCCAGTCGGTACTGACTCATAGCAACTCTATCCACAACAAACACTGTCCGGGCCTGCACCAACCTCACAGTCATTGCTACATTTCAGCCCACTGCCGCTGCCACTTTGCCAGTCTATCTCAATGGGGATCTTCCTCTTTTTCTCTGACCCTCCACCCTACCAAACATGATATCCTTCTCCAGCGACGGTTCCCTCCTGACAATATGGCTGAAGTATGAGAGACGAAGTCTGGGCATCCTGGCCTCCAGGGGGCGTTCTTGCTCTACTTTAACACGGATTTGTTTGATCTTTTGGTCCATGGTATTTCCAATATTCTCCTCCAACATTAGAACTCAAATGTATCAATATAATACCTTATATTAATCCTAGATTATTTGCATAACAAAACCACCCATTCCTAAATGGGATGATGCCTACAGATAAAGAGGTTGGGATTCACAACACATACTGTTGGAGGACATAATTTAGTCCATACCAGCTTCCTTTTTTTTTTGTGATTTATTACATCCACCAGGAGAAGTTATTGGAAATGAAGTTGGACAAAGTAACTGAGGGTATTGATGAAGTTTGTCGGACTGGAAGAAAATGAAACTTAGCTATGTGAACAAGAGAACCCAGGAGTTCTGGGGAAACAGCATTATTAGATGTTTCTCAGGTGGAGAAACCACCAAAAGAAAGAAAGTTCTATTTTTAAACTCATGACTGCCCACAAATTATTAAACATGCATTTATTGCTGACAATATCCTGAAGAGACCGATCCTGAATTAGATGGAACCTTTTTTGTCACGTGACTATGGCTTCCACAGTATTGAATGTGATCATGCCTTGGGCTGCTAGTCCACTCCCACCCTACTGGAAACTGTGAATCCACACAGGGCTGGGCCTCCTTCTGTGCAACGGTTCTGAGTAGAGGTCTTTATTGTGCAATCAAGGACAGCAATGACTGTGTGTGGGGGGTGGGGTGGGCATGTCTTCTGTGGATCCCAGAAGGACTGGGGTTGAAGTCGGGGCAGGAACCCCATCGTGTGCCAGGTGAGTCATGTCCTAAGAATAGGGACTGCAGCAGCTGGAATTCCTCCTTCTGCCCCCACCAGGATGCTGGTTCCAGAAAAGACCGCATTTCCGGTCACAATGATATCCCCACACCTAGAAATGTGTGTCGTCACTGTGCCTCCCCAGCTACCCCACAGACCACTTTCCCAGGAGGCACTACTCCTCCAGGAACCTCGTCTCCCTGGCAGTGGTGGGCACTGGGGCCTGGACAAGGGGGCCCTGGAGGCCAGAGAGCACAGGAAGGCTCCTCATTACCAGCAACTGCTGACCCAGTTTCCCAAACCAGACTCCCAATTTTCTCCCTTTCCATTTCTGGAGCTTTCTGCTGGTGGTTGTGGCAGTGTGTGTGTGTGTGGGGGGGGTCCCCAGTCCATCAGAGACCTGGGGAGGGGAGGACAAGTAGAGGTCTAGTCTGGGTGGTGACGGCAGAGTCCCAGGGCAGGTGGGAGGGGGAAACCTGCCCCGGGCTGGGAACCTACCTGGCCTCAAGGTACCTCACCTGCCCTGCACCTGCTGATCTCCAGGGAAACGTGATTTTCTGGTGGCCAGTTTCACTTCAATGTCCTCAGGAGTCTCCTGCACTTGGTCAAAGTCCTCACCATCCTAGTAGGCCCTGGCAGCCCATCTTTACCATCCCACCCCACCCTGGGCACATGAAGCCCCAGAAACCCCCTGCTGACTGTGAGTCTCTCCCTGAAGACCAACTCCCTTTTGCAGAAGCCCCCCAAGAAGAGAACACAAAAATTGTGTGTCTGTTTATTTCACCCAAAGGAGCATGAACAAGTCCCCAAATGTGGGGGCGGGGATAAGACAAGAACATGGATGTGAGCGTTGGAAAATGATCATCAGTTCACCCAGACAGAACTGATGCTACGCAATGTGTGGACATCATGCTTGCATACACACGCATATACACACACGTGTACACACAGTGTGAAGGCAAAAATGCACGTTCACACACCATACACACACATGCACACATACACGCATTTGCACACCACATATACACTCACACAGGCACACCACACATGCTCCCACACACACCACACACACGGACAAATACACACACATATACACACATTTGCACACCACACACACTCACATACACTCACACACACACAAATACCATGCATATATACACAAACACATGTGCTCACACACCATGAGCGCACACACACACACACACACACACACAAAGGCATGTGCACACACATGCACACAACCAAACATACAGACACATGCACACCATACATACATGCCCACACGCACACAGACATGCACACATTCACACACACACACACACACACACACACACACACACACTGGCAGGGATACAGACTCACCATGCCATGATGACATTTGTAACAAAAGTGCCAAAGGGGAGGACTAGGCCCTGCCTGAACAGAGCTGCAAAGGCGAATCCTGGGGCAACCCCTAGCATTTAGTCTTGCCCACTGGCACCTCGCCCAGCAGTCTAGGCTGTGGGAGTGAGCAGAGCTCCGAGAGCGCATGCTCACAGGGCAGAGTAAAGCCCAAACTCCCTGCTACAGCTACCTCTCCTGGGCTGAGTCTCAGGAGCAGGGCATCGTCCACCTTGACCAGTTCCAGGTGTCCAGCGTCGTGCTTGGCAAGAGGCCTGGACTGGAAATGACCAGGCAGACCCAAGGGGGCCCGGTGCGGTGCGTAGGAACTGCATTTGGCTTCAGCATTAAGGCTGGGCGGTGAAAGCCGGCCTCTCCAGGGCATGGGGCCTGGTGCCCAGCCCTCCAGCTTTCCTCCTGCCTGCAGGCTTCCAAGGGGCTGGCTAAAGTGCTGGGGCCTTCCAGGGGGCCAGGCTGCTGGATCCACAGTACCGCGGCCCCAGGGTCTCATTTGAAGACAGAGTTGATGAACAGCTGACAAGCCAAAAGGACACACAGAAGGACCCAGGAGCGAGGGTTCTGCAGGAGACCAGGGGTCGGCAGCAGCGAGGTCCTCGAGGTGCAGCGCAGCATGGTCGAGAGATGCCTGCAAAACAGGTCAGGGATATGCTGGGGCCCCACCCTCATCTCCTGGTTCCACCAGCAAAAGGGGGCCTAAGGGTGCCCAAGCACGTGCTGGGGAGAGAGGGCCACCAGCCAGTGGAGGTGGGGGCTTCCTAGGCACACATTCCAGGCGGGGAAGGTGAGGGGATGAGGAGCTGGCTTGTGCTCCTCCTCTCTGCTCTGAATGCTCCCCTCTGCCCTTTCTCTCACGGACGCCCCAGTTCTGTCTGCATAATCCTCCTTACCCGCCCTTCCCACTTGTTGGAGTCTTCCTCCAAGGTTCTGAGCTCTGTGTTGTGGCTTCACTGCCCAGTCACCATCCTGACCACCCTAGATGTCATGAAGGGCCAGAGGGGACTGTGAGGGGCTGGTCCTTATTGACAGCCCTCTCAGGTCCTCCTCCCTTCCTGGGAACACTGTTGCAGGTGGGGGGACTGAGGCAGGGACAGTAGACCCCGCAATGAATGGATGCCAGGAGCTGGCTGTGACTTTTGTTCAGCTCCTCTGGGAGGGGGGGGGATTGTCTGCTATTGTGAGGGGCCACAGAGCTGGCCCTCAGGCACAGGGCTGGGGACACACCACACAAAAGTGTGGGAGCTGTGATGATTCTGACTTCTAGTGGCCCTGTATAGGGTTTGTGAGGAGTGACTGGTGGTTTTGACCTTGTGGTTAGCCTATTGCGTATCCTGAGTGGCACCCCAGGGCTCTGAAGTGTGGGAGGGGGTGTCTGAATTCACTCCTCGCTTGGCTTCTGCTAGTTCAGTGACCCTGTCCCTCCAGGCCACCATCAGCACCCACGCTCTGTCCAGTTCTACCTCATATGGAGCTGCCTCGTTGGTCCAGCCTAAAATCTAATACTGCCCACATTCAGCTTTTCAAGACAGACCACAGGGCCCAAGGGTAGCTCCGCCCCCACTCCATTTGTCTTTGGCCCCAGTGGAGGGTCCTAACACCAGCTCACCTGTGCAGTTCCTGCTGCGCCTCCAGGATGGTCAGCACCGCCTCCTGAAGTGCCTGCAGCTGCCTCACCTCCTTCCCGCATCGCGGGCACCTGCTCCCGCTGCCTGAGGCCGAAGATGAGGGGAAAGGGAGGAGGGAGAGCTGATGTCCAGGGTCCCACCCAGCTCAGCCTTGCCCACCTTATGAGAAACCATCACGACAAATCGAACGAAAAGGAGGGAGTGTTTCCAGAGGGACCCCAATGTCGACTACCTCTATAAACCCTAGGGAACAGACATAGGCAGGGAGTACGCATCCAGAGCGCTGGACCACAAGATTGGAGATTCAAATCCACCAGCCACTCCTCGAAATGCTGAGTCAGAACTGACTTGATGGCACTTAACCCCCTCCCCTCCACACACACACAGGGCAGGGAGCTCTCAGGGAGCAGGCACAGAGGGTCACAGAGAACTGCCCATCTGCTTGTCCCAGGGCGCTCCTGGCAGGTGAGGAAGGTGACCTCCCTTGAAGGCAGGTATGGGGGCTCCTGGCCTGGTGTTACCCTCTTTCCTGTTCTGTTCTCCCCTTTCTCCCAGACTTAAGAGTGGGCCAGGCCCCTTGGCAGAACTGGGAGGTCATGGGGTGTGGTGGGGAGGAGCCTCCTGTCCTAGGCCCCTCCCACATGTGGGACTGCCCATCAGGCGAGATGCTGGCTACGCTGCCAGGGTGCCTCTTATTTCCCTCCCTGTCCGGGTAGCCCAAGCTGCTGCTGGCAAGCTCACCAGGAGCGGAGTAGCCATCGTCGTCGGAGAGCTCCGGGCAGGACTCGGGCGTGGAGCCGCAGCTCTCCGTGGCCTGACTGTGGCCTGAGGGCTGGTCGCTGGACTTTCGGAGTCGGTGGTCGGGGTCACACCCCTGCACAAAGAGGAGTCATGGCAACGCACCCCCAAGACCAGCAATGCCCTTCGAACATGGAAGGTCGACAGCATCTGGGGTACCCACGGCCCCTCTCGGTTACTACTACCCTGGTAGGGTCTGGTCAGTGCTGCCCACTGACCCAGGAAAATTCTAGCACGTTCTGAGGGCTTTGAACTTGGACAGACTGCCTTGCTGGAGCAGATTTCGCTTTGGTGATGGAGAACTGCAGACCCCCTCTTCAGGTGCCCCCATCAGTGCCCCCGAATCGTGGTACCTCATGAATGCAGAGTGGTGGTCCAGACAGTGACCCCGCCACTCAGGGCCCAAAGGTTGCTGAGTGACTCTGGGACCCATAAACCAAAGGATTACACAGAAGCTTCCAGACAGTAGACCCCCAGTACTGAGGAGGAGTAAGTGGAGCTCAGGCCCGATGGCCTCTGCATGCCCCGGGTACGGAAATGACCTGGGTGTGGGGCACTAAGAGCTGAAGAGCCAACCTGCCAACAGCCCTTCTTTGGAGACACCCTTCCGCCCGCCCAAGTGACAGCTACCCCGGTGGGCGGGCCCAGGAGGTGCAGCTCAGTGATAGGAAGCGCACCACCTGGTGGCCAAGGTCAGCATGGCAGCGGCTTCCAGCCTGACCTGCTTCCTGGTGGCACGGTGGATTAAGCACTGGGTTACTAACCCCTCAAACCCACCAGCCACTCTGCTGGGGATAGATGAGGTTTCCTGCTCTCGTAAAGATTATAGCCTCGGAAACCCTCTGTCCAGTTCTCTGTAGGGTCATTATGGTCACGAGTGAGTGCGCTTCCCTTCTTTCTCCCCAGGCCCTGGTGATCATGCAAATCTTGTCTCCCCTCTCCCCCACCTCCCAAGCCTCAGTTTCCTCATCTGTAGGAATGGGAATGTGTACTCTAACACTTTATGCGGAAGGGGCTGACCTTGTGCCTGGGCCCCGGGCTTTGTAGGAAGGGGCTCTGGTGGACCGTGGCCGCCCTCCGCAGGGTGTGCAAGATGCCATCCTGCTCGAATTGCACGACGTCCTTCACGGGGTCCCAGGGGCTACGGCTGGAAGGCCACAGGGTGGTGGTAAGCGTTTGAGGTTAGGGGAACCCCCATCCCGGCCCTTAACTTCTCAGCAGCCATCAGAGGCCCCGTCGGGACCAGGAAGGGCCCCAGACCCTCTCCCCATTCCTCACGGTCCAGAGTAGGGCTGAATTGGGGAGGTGGGGTGTTCCCTAGGCCCCCCAGGGTTGCCGCCGAACTCACTCCTCGTGCCTGTACTGCCACTCCTGGGTGGCAGGGTCCAGGTGGAACAGCCGCGGCGTCCAGGGCGTGAGAGTCTGCTGGCGCTCGAGGGCCCTCCGCCGCTGCGCCTCCTCCAGGATGAATTTTTCCTGTGTGGCCCTGTGCTGGTCACCGTCGACAATGGCCCTAGTGACGTGTTGCCAGAGCCTACGAACAGGCGTAAACTGAGTGGGGGACTGGTAGTCACGCCTCTCGACCCAACCAGAGCACCTCTTCTTGGTTGCCTCCTGCAACAGGGAGCTCTCTACCTCGTAGGGCTGTTTATTTGTCCGATAAGAGATAGCGCTTTTTACGCTGAGCCCTGGTCTCCCGCCTGCAAGGTCTGGCCCTTGGAGCTGTTGACATCTGCCGGTTACAGGCCTACAGAGCCAGAGACCTCTTCTTCAACAGCGGCCCCCTAACTGTTCCCACCCAAGTGAGCCCATCATCTGACACAAGGGTCTGGCTGAGGCCACCAGCGTTGCTCGGTTCACCCTAGGCCTTCAGATTGCAAATATGAGGCAGGAGCAGAGGGTCCCTGGTGATTGGTCTCACCGTTCCGACTCCAGCTCTGTTTGTTCCTCCGCCAACACCGTGTGCCGTATCAGCCTCTTCGCGCGCACATCCCCGGTCGGGTTCCAGAAGAGCTCAGGACCTCCGCTGCCCTCCTCTTTGAGGAAGACTTCTCGGTCCTGCCAGGAGACCCGCGTGTCAGGAGTGTCAGATAGACCAACCACCTGCGTCTACCCCAGGGCTAGCCCAGCAATGGGACACTTCCGCCTACTGGAGGAGGGGCCTTGCTAAGCGCTCCTAGAGCCCCGCCCACAGGAGGCTGCCTAGCCCAGTCTCCTGATAACCCCACCCACTTGAGCAGGGACCTTGCCAAACACTCCTAGAGCTCCGCCCACTAGAGGGAGGCCTACCAAGATTCTGAAAGCTCCGCCCACTTGAAGGTGGGGCCTAACCTAAGGTCCTGAAAGCCCGGGGCATTGGAGAACTGGCTTTGCCCAGCGCCCAGAGAGCCCTGCTGGAGGAGGGGACCTTACCCAGTGCCCCGACAGTCTTCCCAGCACCTCATCTCCTGCGGTGATCCTCCCTGAAATCTGGTTGATGTTCGCGTTGCCTCCAAAAAACGGCTATAAGAAAGGACCAAATGGGGAAGTAAGTGGGGAAGACACAGCTCTCTTCAACAAACGGTGCTGACAAAACTGGAAATCCATTTGCAGAAAAATGAAACAAAATCCAGATACAAAAATGAACTAAACATAGATTAAAGACAATGTAAAACCTAGAACTATAAAGATCGTCAATGAAAAAATAGGAACAAACTTAGGGACTCTGATACGTGATATAAATACACTATCAAACGTAACTGGCAACATGCAAATTGTTGTTGTTGTTGTTAAGTGCCGTCGAGTCGGTTCCGACCCACAGCGACCCTGTACAGGGTTTCC